AAAAGTGGAATTACAAACTATTATTGCAATAATACTAGATTTTGTAGTTGCCTATGTATTTACATTTTTATTTTTTCATACAGGTTTGAGTTACTGTCTAGCGTCCTTTAATTTCACCCTAAAGGACTCCCTTGAGCATTTTGCTGGGCAAGTCTAGTAACGAATGCCCTCAGCTTTTGTTTATCTGGGAATGTTGTAGTTTAACCTTCACTCGTTTTTAAGTGCGGTTTTGCTGGGTATAGGATTCTTGGTTGACAGTTTTTCTTTTTTTTTTAAAAGGGAACTTTATTTTATATAGCTATTTAGAAAAAAAAAATTTTTAATGTTTATTTTTGAGAGAGAGCATGAGCGGGAGAGGGACAGAGAGAGAGAGAGAGAGAGAGACACACAGAATTGGAAGCAGGCTCCAGGCTCTGAGCTGTCAGCACAGCTGACACAGCTGAACTGTGAGATCATGAGCTGAGCCAAGTTGGACACTTAACTGACTGAGCCACCCAGGTGCCCCCAATAGTTTTTCCCTTTTAGCATTTGAATATATAGGCTCACTGCTTTTTAGTCTTCAAAGTGACTGATGAATAATCTAATGATTATCTTACTGAGTATGTGATGAGTTGCCTCTCTCTTGTGGCTTTCAAGATTCTTTATCTTTGGCTTCAGAAGTCTGATCATAATGTGTTTTGGTGTAAGTCTTTTTGAGTTCATCATACTTTGAGTTTACTGAGCTACATGGATGTTTATATTCATGTCTTTCATCAGATTTGGAAGTTTTCAGGCATTATTTCTTCAAATATTCTTTCTGTCTCTTTCTCTCTCTCCTCCTTTCAAGACGCCCACAGTGTATGTGCTGGTCTGCTTGATGGTGTCTCACAGGTCCCATAGGCTGTTCACTTCAATCTTTTTTTCTTTCTTTCTGTCAGCCTTGGTAATTTCCATTGTCTTATCTTCAGCTTTGCTGATACATCTGCCTGTTCATATCTGCCTTTGAAACTCTCTAGCGAGTTTTTCATTTCAGTTATTGTACTTTTCAGCTCCAGAATTTCGTTTTGGTTTCTTAAGGTTTTTAAAATCTAATCATATTTCCATTTTGTTCCTACAGTGCTTTCTTGACTTTTTCTGTATCTTTTCTTTCTCTGACATTTTAAGATGGTTGTTTAGTCTTTGTTTAGAAGATCTGCCATCAGATCTTTAAAAGGGATGTCTGTTGATTGATTTTTTTTCAGATGGGCCATATTTTCTTTGTATGCCTTGTGATGTTTTTCTATGCCTTGTATTTTGTTAAGAACTGGGCATTTGGATCTAATAATGTTTTATGTCTGGAAATTAGATTCTCCCCCTTCCTCAAGGTTTTGTGTTTTTTTTTTTTCTTTGATTCTTGTCGGTTGTCTCTGTGCCAGGGATCAGCCTGAGGGGTAACTTCAGGTTTGCTCGGGTCTCTTCTGAGCCTGTGCTGTTCCCTGGTCAAATGTGGGCACTTTCAGGGTGCCTGGGTGGCTCAGTCGATTGAGTGTCCGACTTTGGCTCAGGTCATGCTCTCACGGTTTGTAGGTTCGAGCCCTGCATTGGCTATGTGCTGACAGCTGGGAGTCTGGAGTCTGCTTTGGATTCTGTGTCTCCCAATCTCCCCACCCCTCCCTCACTCGCTGTCTCTCCCAAAAATAAACATTAAAAAAAATTTTAATGTAGGCACTTTCTAATTTTCTCTTTATATGTAGTTGCCTTTGAAAGTGTCTTTATTTTGTGTTTGTGCATGTGTGTATGTATTTTTATGTATGTATGTAAATAGGCAGCCATGAAAGTCCTTGTCTTTGGTGTCTGGTTCCCTAAGCGGGGGTGGGGGGGGGGAACAGAAAAATGCAGAGTAGGGGGAGAGCTGTATCCCTTTAAATCTCCCTCAAGTCACTTCAGATGGAGGGGAGGGTCTTTGCAACAGTGGGGGAGGTGCAGCAACCATGGCTGCCTTTCTGTGTTTGCACCTCTCTGATGGGAAGGAGCAAGCTATCAGAGCACACATTCCATTGTTTACAGGACAGGGTGTTTTTGCCTACCCTGGCTCCTGCAAGACTATTGCAAGCCACTTCAGAAACACTTGCAGGTGGCTGGGTGTAGGGGATGGGCTAAGAGCTGAAATTGGTTGAAATTAACCTCAGTTGACTGTCCAAGTCTTCCTCCAGAAGTTGGAATCCTTCAATAGACTCCAGGTTTCCAAAACAGTTACAGTCGATGGGTCCTGCCGCACAGCCATTTTTTGGTGGGGAGGTAGGTTCCCGGTGCTTCCTGCTTCACCATCTTCTCAGAACCCTGCAGGCGACGTTAGGTTTTGTCCTTATCTTTTTGCCTTGCTCCCCCACTACACTCTTCCAGAGGGGAAGAACCCTGTTGCTCTCTTATCACTGCTTCTCAGGATACATGCTTGACACTTGTGGTAAAGCCTCAGTTAACTGGCCTTTCCTGAAATTCCTGTTTGCCCTTGCTCTCACTGAGGGATGCTCAGGAAAGAGAGGGAGGCAGAGACTGTACTGGGTTGGACAGTGTCCCCTCCCCAATTCATTTCTATCTGGAACCTGTGAATGGGGCCTTCTTTGGAAAAAGGGTCTTTGCAAGATGTCATAAATGAAAAAGGATGGCATACTGGATTCCGGTGGATTGGTGATTGGTTGCCCGTGTAAGTCGGCCATGTGTAGATGGAGGCAGAGATTGGAGTGATGCATCTACAAGCCCAGAACCACTGGCAGCCACCAGAAGCTGGAAGAGACAAGGAAGGATTCTTCTTGCCCTGGAAGGAGCATGGCCCTGCTGATACCTGGATTTTGGACTTTGAGCATCCAGGATTGTGAGAGAGTGAATTTCTGTTCTAGGTCGTCTAGTTTGTGGACTTTGTTAGGGGAGCCTGGGCAGATGAATACAGGGACGAGGGCCAGGAGGCCATGCCTCTTAAGGTTAACTCACAAGACTATGGAATTCTTCACACTTTTGTGTCCTGAGTATGAAGCCATGGAACTGTGGGTCCCAGCAAAAGGCTCTCTTGGGGGACATCAGCCCACTTGCTGACTCATGTGCATCGTGTGTGTGTGAAGCTGGGCTTCTGTGACAAGCCTGGCTTTCTGACAACAGTGGTCTATGAGAACAGTCATAGATTCAACAAGGGCACCTGGTGGGATCAGCCAGGACGTCTCTCTCCAACTTCAGAACGAGTGACATGTGCCGAAGTCCTGGGGTCCCTCCAGCATGTGAGGACACGTCAGGCCACTCTTTGGGGGGTTCCCGACATGTTTTGCACCCCCCTCCCCCCCGCCCAGTGGTTTTGCTTTTGTTTCTCTAGCTCTGGAAGGTTCCCAGCTGTGAGGGAAGATGCCAGCCCCGAGTAGGGTACTGTTGTCACCCACAAGCCTCCATGTGAGCTAGGTAATGTCTTTTTAGTATATATTTTGTAATTATTTTTGAGAGACAGAGAGTGAGTGGGGGAAGGGCGGAGAGAGAGGGAGATACAGAATCCAAAAGCAGGCTCCAGGAGTGCCATCAGCACAGAGCCCAACGTGGGGCTTGATTGAACTCATGTACCAGGATCACCACCTGAGCCGAAGTTGGACGCTCAACTGACTGAGCCACCCAGGCGCCCCAAGCTAGGTTATTTCTAAACTGATGTTTGAAAGCTGGTTTTTAAGACAGTAATAAGGCTGGTGCGTCCTTCAGAACTAACTGTAGTTGGCCCCGGGTCTGGTTGTTACATGGCTGTCTTGTGGCGGGTTGAGAGCAGGGCCCAGGTCCTGATCCTTGTGTCGTCCAGTCTTGTTCCCATTCACTGGCATCCACATGGGGCTGGGCCTGGAGCCCGGGGCTGGAGTGTGGAGCCAGAGCCCCCTGAGCTGGAGGACATGCTGCCGTGGTGTCTATAGAGATGCACGTGTCCACGTTGTCTCCCGCTGACCAGTGAGGAAGGACCCTGGGAACGCAGGTCTTGCCTGAGGTGTTCCGGCCCCAAGAGGACGCAGGGAGGCTGTACTGCATGGAGGCACCAAGGCTGCAGTGGCTTCTTCACCTGGTCACTCCAGTGGCTGCCAACCCTGTGAGCCTCGGTTTACCCATCTGTAGAATGGGAAAGATGGGAGAAGCTGTCTTGTAGGATGTACGGAGATTGCACAGTTGGCACCGAGGCTGTGGCGAGCAGTAGCAGCTCCTGCTGTCACTGTGGTTACTTGTTAAATTCATGACTCCCCCGGGACTAGCCCTTAGCGGTATGTTCACAGGATTCCTGTCTGTATTCATATTACATATATTCGTAGATACGTTGATCTCTGTATCACGCATAGATATGTATTTACCCTGAATAAACTTCAGTATTAGATACAGAGCAGGATAGAGACATTTATTTCTCTGTCATGCTGATTTGAATAACTTTGAAATTAAAAAAAAATTTTTTTTTAATGTTTATTTTTCAGAGAGAGAGCAAGGTAGGGGGCAGAGAGAGAGGGAGACAGAGGACCCAAGGCAGGCTCCTCGCTGAGAATGGAGACCCCGACGTGGGGCTTGAACTCACAAACCACGAGATTATGACCTGAGCTGAAGTCGGATGCTCAACCACCCAGGTGCCCCAGAATAACTGAAATTTCAGGGTAGACCTCTTTAGGCACTGTGTACTCCATATACAAGTTTGAGCCTCTGTTGAGGGTAACAAGGTCTAAGATCAGGGAGAATGGCAAAAAAAAGGTCACTGCGCCTGCAAAGCTCATTCAGTTGAGCGGCCAACTCTTAATTTCCACTCAGGTCATGATCTCTCAGTTTGTGACTTTGAGCCTCATGTCAGGCTCTGCACAGACAGTGTGGAGCCTGCTTGGGATTCTTTCTCTCCCTTTCTGCCCCTCCCCGCTCTCCGCTCTCCGTCTCTCTGTCAAAAATAAACATTAAATAGAAAAGTCACTGCCCTCAGGCACTTCCCTTCCAACAGTAGCAACAAAGCAACACCGAAGCTGTGATGTAGGTAGAGGGAAACCAAAGCTGGGCAAGGGGTGAGCAGTGGCCGGCCAGGAGTCTGGACACTTCAGAGGGAGAGGTGGTCGTGAGACGCTCTTGCTGTACCGTCTAAACAGTAAGAACATGGGACAAGGCCCCTGCTCAGCTTGAAATGCCTTTAAAAAGTGGTCAATTTTTAAAATAAATTCCAGGCTAATAAACAGGCCTAGTTTTGTGTTTTTAGGCTCAGTGTCACAGGAATGATCAGCACTGGGAACCTGAGCTCACGCTGGGATTTGGCCTTTTCCCTGTTTATAGGATTTTATGTTAAGGAGGCCATATGGTTGGTTCTCAGCTGTGTAAATACCCATTGTGGTGTATCAGGTAGTGGCCACATCCAGGCCAAGCCACTTGGCACACCGCTGGCAGCCCCCAGCTCGTGGATATAGCCCCTCCAGGTCCCACTGCTCCAGCCTGGTGCTGAATGGTTGTGTGCTGGGAGGAGGTAGCAATGCCGACTGGCCAACTTTCAGGGAAAGGCCTCTTCCTCCTTCAGTCCAGAAAGGCCTGGACTCCACTCACGGTGAGGTCATAAAGTGGAAAAATGAAAGGAATGGCCTCACCAGGCTGGATGGCATCTACGGAGGGGGAGGGAATGTGGGCACTGGACACCTGTGGTGACAGTCCGTTTTGGGTTCATCACCAGTGTGGTTTCTTATACTCTGTCACGCCTCTTGTCCTCATCCTGTCACCTCTTCTACACTGGGTATTGGACATGTCCCACTTGCTAGGGTCTGACCTCCTCACTTCATCTCTTCCACCTCTCTTTTTGGGCCTGTCTTGGATTATGGGTCTAGAACAGTCTCTTCCTCTAGGTCTTTGTTAAGAGAGCCGAATTGACCATCCTACCAGGAATTATTCTTTCTTCTCTTGCTGTCAACTTCTCGAGTGAAGTTCAAGGAAAGTGGGAAAGCAAGGACCCTTAACTCCCTGAGAGGGCGAGGATTCCAGAATGTTTTCTGGGTCACCTGGTTAGAGTGATGGAGGCACATGGTGGACTTCTCCTGCGGAGGCCACCCCAGGTGCACAGGGTGTTGGGTGGAGGAGCCCTTGCCTCATGGGCTCAGGCACGGGCCCAGGAACAGGGTGGGGCCCTGTGTCGGGCTGTGTTCCCCAGTTTTACCAGGTACTTCTTAATCTACTGTGGAATGAGGTGTTCCTTAGGAGGGAGACAGCGGAGAAAAGTGTGCTGGTGTAGGATCCATTTGTGTATGAAGACTGGTGTGGTAGATGCCTAAACACATTCTGGAAAGACCTGTGCCCACATGGTGGATAGGAGCTGCCTCTGGAAAGTGACGCTTGGGGTGGAGGGGTTGGTGGCAAAAGATGAATTAGGTTTCATTGAATTTGTTACAACCATGCATATTTTTTGTTTCAAGCACGTAAGGGAATAATACTTCAGGGGTCCTTTAGTAATGTGGCCCAGCATTTCGTTCTGCTGTGCTGAGAAGGTTCCAGGGTCCCCGTGTGTCTCCCCCTCACACTCATGTTGGCGGGGGGGCGGTGAGGGTGAGGGATGGGTGGTGGGGGTGGGCTCGCTCCTCCGCGGGAGGCCAGTCCTTCCTGCCCACACCCTCCCGGGGAAGCCCAGACCTGACCTGCGTCTCCCAAGGCTGGTGCTCCATCTCTGGGTCACATTCGTGCACCCAGTGTCACCTCAAAGATTTGCAGGCGCTGCAGTTCTTTGATTGAGACAGGAAGGTACAAAATTAAGGCCAGGTATAGAGCAGACTGTAATTTTAAGGACTTTGTTTTAAAGAAGTAATCAGCGGTGGGTGGATTAGGTCCCAGAGCTCTGTCACGAAGTCCCATAGCTGGGAGCCTAGAACAAGAGGAATTTAATTGTCTGCCCTTCTGCCCTGGAAGCCTGAGGAAGGTGTTGGCAGGGCCAAATTCCCTTGGAGGCTCCAGAGTGGGTGTGTCTTTGCCTCTTTCAGCTTCTGGTGGCTCCTGTAGCCCTTGGTGCCCCTTGGCCTGTAGACGCAGCTCTCTGGTCTCTCATCACACCACCTCCTTCCTTGTGTCTGTGTCCATATTTCCTTCTTCGTATAGGGACAGCAGTCACTGGATCGGGGTCTGTTCTAATCCTCTTAACCAGTCACGTCTGTGAGGGCCCTACTTCTAAGTCAAGTCAAATTCCAAGTACCAGGAGTGAGGACGTACCTTCTAGGCACTGACCCGCTGCAGCTTCTGTCCGTCCCATAAAGGAGTCTTTGCAGTTGCCACACTTTGTAATTTGCTGATGTACCATCTAAAATTACGAACTTGTTTGTGAAAATAAAAATAGAATTATTGGGGCGCCTGGGTGGCTCAGTCGGTTGAGCATCCAAC